TTGTAAAGATGTTTCACCATAACAGGAAAGTGGTTTGGCAACGCACCTTAAAAGCTCCGCCATATTAACATCTTCAAGGTCTTTGAGGTCTGGTGTGTGGTGTTTTAAAAGGTTGGCGGAAGGAGTAAAAAGGTTGTGGTGGTTTTTTTTCATAAATATTTGGTCTCTGCCAAAAGAGGCGATAATGGTATAAGGTGGATGTAGCTAAAACCCTAGTACAGTTTTACAGTGGAAATAAGAAACAGTTTTTTCTTCTTTTTTTTTTTTTTTTAGACGGAGTTCGTGTGTCCCCAGGCTGGGATGCACCGCAACCCTCCGACCATCCTGGGTCAAGCCAATTTTATTCTCACTGTCTCCCGCCCTTCCCCTGAGTAGCTGGGATTACAGGTGCCCCACCACCCACAACCACCCGCTTAAATTTTGTATTTTTAAAAGTAAGATGGGGGTATTCCATATGGCCAGGCTGTCCCTGAACTCCCCTGCACCTCCAGATATCCACTACCTCAGCCCTCCCAAAAAAAGACAGCTTTTAAGGACCCCATACTGGTAGTTAGGTTTGCTCCTTTGATGAACCACTATGAAAATTCGAAAAAACCATTTTAATCTACTTGAGCATCGTAATCCCTGAGGCATATGCACACCAACCAACAGTCCTACCAGTTTTCCTGCCTGTGATAGCGATACCACCTTAGACCAAGTACCAAACAGGCTTGCTGGAGAAAGGAGAAGCTTCAGCGCAGGATTTTCAGACATTTGAGAGCTAATTAGAAGGATTCAAATTTCTGTATGAAAGCTATGTAAATCATAATTGTATTCACATTTGTTTTCTCCGCACAGAAATTAAAAAACCCGGTTATGCCAAACCAAAAATTTATTTTGACTTTGTAAATAAATTACATTCCAACTGTACTTGGATTTTGTTATTAAAACAAGTGAAAAAGACCCATAATTATAGGCAAAAAAATAACTAAAAATTGGTTTTGGCTATGACTTGGACAAAAATCTTCATGCGCAAACTGCACGTGACAGGCGCAGAAGCCCATGTCTTGGTTCCAATGGGCATGGTTGACATTGACACGCCTAAAGATCATGGCAAAGGAAAAGGAGAAATAGAAAAAGGAAGATAATTAAAAAGGGAGGTTAAGGAAGTAAGGGAGGAAAAAGGTGGGCGGGAACAGAAAAGATATTTCAAATGAAATAATGTAGAAGATTGCCATCAAGTAATTGGTGTAAGATAGTGAATTTCCGCATATGTTGTTGCATTCAGAGTAGTCATATAAAAAGGGGGTGGGGGTTGGATTAAGCTGGGTATTGAACGTTTTTTTTCCAGTGTAAGTTGATGTAAAAAGACAAACACATTTTTTCTAATTTACTTAATTTTTGCCTCCCTCTCTCATCAGTTTTCCATTTGCCTGAACTGGTGAACATTTCATCATAGGTTAGCACTGGTATGTGGCATGGGAACCACTTATCTAATATTACCAATTTTAATATAAAAATTTAGTAGAGTTGGCTGGGCATGGTAGCTCACGCCTGTAATCCAGCACTTTGGGGAGGCCGAGGTTGGCAGATCACCTGAGGTCTGGAGTTCAAGACCAGCCTGACCAACATGGGAAACCCACTCTCTAATAAAAATACAAAATTAACTGCGTCGTGGAGGTGCCTGTAATCCCAGCTACTTGGGAGGCTGAGGCAGGAGAATCGACTTGAACTTGGGAGGTGGAGATTGTGTGAGCGAGATCACCCCATTGCACTCCAGCCTGGCAATAAGAGCAAAACTCTGTCTCAAAAAAAAAATATATATATACACACAACACACACACACACACACATATATTTAAATATAAATTTAGTAAGAGAGATATAATATTTTAGTAAAGTTCATATATATATTTAGTAGAGTTTTAAAGGATACTTTCAATTCATTCAGTTTTTCCTCCATTCAGTGTTTCCTGAAGGCTCAGTAGGTATAAAATTTAAGTTAGCTGTCAGATGAAGAGAAAGGAGTGATAGTGGGACCTGAAGAGATTGTGTCTAGCAGATGGAAAGACTTGTATGAATCAGGTAGCAGGAATGCCCAGTGATCTGCTCAAAAGCCTGGAACTGGCTCTTTTAGCAGTGGGGAGCCAATGACGGTTTTTAAGCAAGGAGAGGGATCATGAGGGCTATGCCAGGATGTGATCATAATGTTAAAGCAATTTAAAGGAGGTGACAAGGAGATGAGCTAAAAGGGCTGTTGTAAGATTGGAGCTAAGACTGCATTATAGGATCTAGAGGTGGTTGAGGTCATGGGGATAAAAAGGAGACAGCAAGCAAAGTCCTGTGGAAGTGGAAATGGGAAGGCTGAGCAACTATGCAGTGGGGAGGGTGGAAGATATAAATTCTTTTTAAGGAAGACTTTTGTAAATTATAAGAGGATTCAAAAATAAATTTCAGATACTTCTAGAGTATGTAAGGAGGAAGAAATGATTTTTCACGACTGTTTTAAATAATGAAAAGGTATAAGCAATAAGTTTATGTAATGATGGAATTGAAAGCTTGTTCACGGGGAATTCTAGATAGTTGGATGAATCATAAAAATCTAAAAAAAACTTCAGACTACTGGGTATGTCAAAGAGAGTAGAAGCTGGGCGTGGTGGCTCATGCCTGTAATCTCAATACTTTGGGAGCCTGAGCCAAGAGGATTGCTTGAGCCCAGGAGTTCAAGACCAGCCTGGGCAACACAGTGAGATCCCCCCTCTCCACAAAGCATAAAAAAATTAGCTGGGCGTGGTAGTGCATGCCTGTGGTCCTAGCTATTGGGGAGGCTGAGGCTAGAGGATTTCTTGAGCCCGGGAGGTTGAGGATGCAGTGAGTTACGATCACCGCTGTACTCCAGCCTGGGTGACAGAGTGAGACCCTGATTCAAAAACAAACTAAAAATGTGATTTTTTTTTTTTTGGGGGGGGGTATGGGAAGAAAGAACAGAGTTGTCTTTTGTGTTTATGATAACTTTTGAACTTGTTTCTTAATCTGCAAAACAAAGAACAGCATACTGGTGATTTAAAAAAAAAAAGAATGTAGCCTAGAATTCTGTTCAAATCCAGCTTCTGGCACTAGCAACTGTGTTATCTTAGTGAAGTTACTTAACTTGTCCCTCAGCCTTACTTTCCTTGTGTTATGTATAACACAGATGATAGTGATACCTATCTTGTAGGGTGTGTGTGTGTGTGTGAGAGAGAGAGAGAGAGAGAATTGAATGGAATCAGATAATACATGTGAAACACCCGTCCATGAGAGCTTGGCATATAGTAGGTGCTCAACAAACGGCAGGGACTTCTTTTGTTCCCAGCAATAACACTTAACAGTGCATTGGTAGGTCTATCCCTTTTGGGTACTGAACAATATTTTGATAAGATGTATATTTGAGATTGGCTTTATGTGAAAGACGACGACATTCCAGGACACACAGTAATTTTTATGAGGGCATTTTCAACTGGGCACAAGGATCAGGCCTTTCTCGTCGTCTGGATTGCACAGTTTTGCCGCAGGTTCGTTGTTTTTTACTGTGGCTAATTTTAACGCTGAACATGAAGGGGTTAAGAAATGCCTTTAACTCATGTTACATTAAGCAGCAGAAATTATCAGATAGAGGAATTGGGGAGGGGGAAGAAAAGGCTCGGTAGTAACTCATGGCTTCCTAAGCAAGATGGCTTGTAGTTACAGTTTTGAGTTGAATATACGTTCTGGCAGTTTAATCTGATCAGACTAACTTGGGGGTAGGTGCAACCCGTCGCTTCCACCCTTCGCCTCCTTTAACCAAAGCCGCCCAGAGTGCAATTGCCTGGAGTTTAAACAATGCTGTGAGTTGCAGCTTCTAATTGGAGAGGCAGGAAGCCCTTCCCTGGACAGACCCCGCCCCTCCCCGTGCGAATCACCAGCCTGCGGGGAGGAGCTGGCCAATGCTAATGAGCGAGTTGCCAGGCGAGACAGGAACTTCTTTCCCCTTCTCTGTGTCAGGATCGCAGAAATTATGCCCCTTCTCTCACCATGAGCTGGCTCTCCAGTTCCCAGGGAGTGGTGCTAACAGCCTACCACCCCAGCGGCAAGGACCAGGCCGTGGGGGACAGCCATGCAAAGGGAGGGGAGGAAGCCACCTCGAGGTAAGCCTTTGGAAGCTGAAAACAAAACCAAACCCTCTTACCTGCTCCAGGGAAAAAGTGACAGGGAAGTTGGCGTGGGGAGAAGGGAATTCCATCTGCACGTCGAGCCTAAGCTCACGCAGCAGCAGTAGCAACGTTTGGCGTGATTTTTATGTACTTTTCATCTCACCTAGTCCAAGTCTGAAATAACCCATATGATGACTGGTGAAGACGGACAAGAAGGAACTGGGGAGAGGACTGTATGGGCTGTCAGACTAGGTGTTTAGCAGGTGCATTTGCACATGCTGAAAGATCAAATAGGTGTATCTGAAACACTTCCTTTCCTATGAAATGGAATTCTTGAATGGGCTCAAGGCACTGCCACTGGAACTGTTCGCTGGGAAAGTCTGCCAAAAAGCAGGGAGGCTGTTCACTGTACTGTACAAGCTGTTGTTGTTAGAGTGTTTTTTTTTCCCCCCTCTCTTTGCTGAAAGCAAACCTCTTAGGCAAAAAGCCCAAGACACTGGCCTGTGGCAATATGTTTCACATTCTTTTGTGTATGTGGATTTTTTTTCCCCCAGGCTTTCAGAAAGGAGTTTTTGTCAGGAGATAGCACTCTGCTGCTGGAGTGAAATGTGGTTAATGTTAAATCACTTTATAGGCAGAGAGGGCAAATGTTCTATAGACCACTGAGGCACAAAGGGTACCTTTCTCCCTGTCTGTGTACTTTGTTCTTGTTCCGTTTTCTAAGAGCTTTTTTTTTTTTTCTTTCTCTCCTTAATGACCTTCTCACTAGCTGAACATGTTTACCTCCATCAAGATATAAATCATAAATATTGGCCTAGAAGATTGCAAGAAGCAAATACTAACCTAATAGCCTAGAACACTAAATTAGTTATCAGTAAGCACATTTCCTCCTCAACGCTTAATGTGATAATAAAACCTTCTTTGTTCTTATGTGACTTATGCCTGTGCCTTAAGCTGAAATAATGCTGCCTTTCATTTGTTTTAAAATCCCCAAATATGAGGGAGGGAGAAAAATCAAAGGAATGGCTGTAATACTTGGTGTTAGACTCCCAGCTGACCGGAACTGTTTCTCACATAGCATCCACAGTATGTATTTCATTGAATGAATTCATTTCCAAAGATGAGAAAGATTTGCTGCTTGTGCCTTAGCTGTGTTACCATTGCATTTTCCATCATTTTAAATGACTTAATGTTAAATCATTAAATCAAGAGATCTTGAGGTGTTTTCATCCATTTTTCTGTAATGTATTAGTAATTGTTAAGCATTAAGCAGCCTGCAACACCAACCCCATACCCAACCATAACTTGGATTCCACATGTCAGTCAAAATTGCCAAAATTATACAAGCACAGCACATTCTCCAGTTACTTTAGGCTGGGATGGCCTAAGGATACGAGCAGAATCTTGGATCTCGATTGTGAGAATGGAAAGGACCTTAAGGACTGTGAGTCCAAACCTCTCATTTTCACATAGGACTCAAACCCCAGGGATTAGTTAAGTTTTTGGAAGGTCTGAAGTTCTAGGCCTTTGTCTGGGGCTGCATCCCCAGTTCTGGATACTCATTATTCTGCGTTTGCAGTGTGGGTGGCCCATACTTGAGTGGGTTGAGAGAACAAGAGAGGATCAGACCATTCTCTGCCTAGGCTGAAGCAGAACCAAGAGGCCCTAAGGTGGCAGGGTGGGCAGCTGCCCACACAGCAGGTGCCCTGTGTAGGGCCAGAGCTCCAGGTGGGCATCTTTGTTGGCTGCCATGTAGCCTGCCCATACCAGACCCAGCTTCCCACCACTGAGTTAGTTCTAGGGATCGTTACTGATATTGACCGGAGAAGATGGGAGCCTGGTTTCAGGGCAGGGAGGAAGGAGGAAGGAGGGAGGAAGGCTAGTCTTCACTGGCTTTTACCCTTAAGGAAGGGGTAACCAATCAGATAAACTTATTGTTGTTTTGGGAGACTGCCCTGTTTATCCTGGGAGAATTGAGATACTGTAATTGATATGGGGGAGGAGATGGATAGAAGGAAGGAGGATTTGAAGGTGGGATGGGGTCAGTGGTGACCACCTAAGAATGGTGATGGTGGTTTGGGGTGGGGGTGAACTGGACTTTGGCTTTGGCTGGGTTGGTCAGGTGATGTTTTAAGCACTGGGAAGCTGCTCCAAGGTGCAAAGTTGATGGTCGATGCCTATTTAAAGAAGTTCTCCAAAAAGTAAAAACAAAACAAAACTCTTAAAAAGAGGCTACATTAGGCTGGGTGTGATGGCTCACACTTGCCGTCCCAGCACGTTGGAAAGCTGAGGTGGGTGGATTGCTTGAGCTCAGGAGTTAGAGACCAGCCTGGGCAACAAAGTGAAACCTCAGTCTTTACCAAAAAAAAAAAAAAAAAAAACACACAAAAAACCCCCCCCACACACAAACTAGGCATGGTAGTGCATGCCTGTGGTCCCAGCTACTCAGGAGGCTGATGTGGGAGGATCACTTGAGGCTGTGGGGGCAGAGATTGCAGTGAGCCGAGATCACGCCACTGCACTCCAGCCTGGGTGAGGGAGCGAGACCCTGGCTCAAAGAAAAATAATAATAAGTAAAATAAAAATAAAAGCTAAATTAAATTCTGCATTTCCTCCTACCCATTTAAAAGTTATAGGAGAGAGCATGGAAGTATAACTTTTCTTATCACTATATTTTGTCTGTAAATAATATGTTCTTTGAAATATTTAATCCAATATTTAGTTTCATGAGATGAATTCGTGCCTTTATAATGCTGTTTATACGTATGTATATGACTTAGCGTATTTATTGAAAAGTATTTCTTTTTTTTTTTGAGATGGAGTTTTGCTCTTGTTGCCCAGGCTGGAGCACAATGGCACGATCTTGGCTCACTGCAACCTCTGCCTCCCAGGTTCAAGCTATTCTTCTGCCTCAGCCTCCAGAGTAGCTGGGACTACAGGCATGCACCTGTAGCTACCTAATTCCTTAGCTACCTAAATGGACTGATGAGTGAGATATTTTTATGCCTTCTCTGAATAAATGTATGGCATTCATCATGTAAGGTCCTGTTGACCCAACTTGCCATTGGTATTGGGTAGGCAGAACCAAGAGGCACTACACAGGGGTGACATAAACCCAGAAACCCTGGACTCTGGGGCCAACCTGTCTGGGGTCACATCCCAACTCTCTCATTCATTAGCAGTGTGACCTTGGAGGAGTTCTCTCTCTACCTATAAATTGAACTTCATAATGTTACTCACCTCATTAAGACAGCTGAGTGGGTTGAACTCTGTCAAGCCCATAGAAGAGTGTCTGGTTTGTAGCTAGCTGCTTTTTCTTTAATACTAGGTAAAGAAAAGGAAAGAAAGTATTCAGTGCTAATTTTGTATTTTTTTTTTAAGTAGAGTCGGGGTTACTCCATGTTTGTCAGGCTGATCTCGAACTCTCGACTTCAGGTGATCTGCCTGCCTTAGCCTCCCAAAGTGCTAGGATTTCAGGCATGAGCCACTCTGCCCAGCCTGAAAGTGTTTGAGTTTTAGCCTAGCCATACCAAGTCTTTTTTTTGTTTTGAGACAGAGTCTCACTGTGTCACCCAGGGTGGAATGCAGTGGCGTGATCTGGGCTCACTGCAACCTCCGTCTCCCAGGTTCAAGTGATTCTCCTGCTTTAGCCTCCCAAGCATCTGGGATCACAGGCAAGTGCCACCACCCCTGGCTAATTTTTGTATTTTTAGTAGAGACGGGGTTTCACCATGTTGACCAGGCTGGTCTCGAACTCCTGATCTCAGATGATCTGCCCACCTTGTCCTCCCAAAGTGCTGAGACTACAGGCATGAGCCACTGTACCCGGCTCCAAGTCCTTTGTTATTACCATTTGGTCTTTTGAAAAGCTGGGATAGTAGGGAATTAATATTTTTGGAAGTAATTTGTTAGCTAAAATTTTCTTCATTCCATTATCCCTCTTTATCAGAAAACATTCATTGAATGTCAGATTAAGGAATTCCTCCCACTCCTGGTTACAGCCTCTCCCTTTATAGAGTTCTGTTTTTCTTTTGTATGTTTCCTCATCAAAACATGAGGATTTGAAGAAATATGTTAACATTAGTTGTTATGGCTGACTTGTACACAGTTGAATGTTTCCAAAGGAAACCACTTTTTTATGAGTAGCTATATTTATAAGACTTTGTTTACTTGTTTTTCAAGCAGGCTTCTTAATATTTACTTTAGAAAAGAATTTTTTCAAAGAATATTGCATTTTGTCTATTCTTAACTGTTCTCCTTTGACTTTCCCATTTTAAGAGAAATGGTTGTTTACTTTGTATATTTTTTACTAATATTTTAATATGAACATCAACCTTTTTTATTGGGCCTTTTAACTCCTTAGCTACCTAAATGGACTGATGAGTGAGATATTTTTATGCCTTCTCTGAATAAATGTATGGCATTCATCATGTAAGGTCTTGTTGACCCAACTTGCCATTGGTATTGGGTAGGCAGAACCAAGAGGCACTACACAGGGGTGACATAAACCCAGAAACCCTGGACTCTGGGGCCAACCTGTCTGGGGTCACATCCCAACTCTCTCATTCATTAGCAGTGTGACCTTGGAGGAGTTCTCTCTCTACCTATAAATTGAACTTCATAATGTTACTCACCTCATTAAGACAGCTGAGTGGGTTGAACTCTGTCAAGCCCATAGAAGAGTGTCTGGTTTGTAGCTAGCTGCTTTTTCTTTAATACTAGGTAAAGAAAAGGAAAGAAAGGATTGAGTTTTGCAGGATATGGAATATTCTCCCTTGTTTCAGAAGCGTTTTTCTGAATATCATTTTGTCATGTGTTAAGAAATCTGGGCATGATCCATATGCTTAAAAAATGACGTATTTGAGAATGAACCATAATGTAAAAGTTTAGGCCTTTCAAGTTTGAAAGACCTTGGAAATATCATCTTGATCCATAGCACCATTTATGATTTGAACTGGTAGTGATTGCCTATACTAGGCCTTTCTTGGGGGTAT